CACTCACGGGGCACCTCCACTCACGGGGTACCTCACACTCACGGGGCACCTCACACTCGCGGGGCACCTCACACTCATAGGACAGACTTCACACAGATCACCTCACACTCACAGATCACATCACACTCACGGGTCACCTCACACTCACAGATCACATCGCACTCACAGATCACCTCACACAGGACAGACTACATATTCACAGATCACCTCACACTCACAGATCACATCACACTCAGGACAGACTCACACTCACAGGACACCTCACTCTCAGATCACCTCACACTCATAGACTATCTCACATTCACAATGTGAGATATCTCACCTCACACTCATAGGATGTCTCACACAGGATGCCTCCTAGTCACAGAGAACCACATCTCATATGCACAAGACATCTCACACTCACAGGACGCCTCATACTCACAGGAAGCCTGACACTCACGGGAAGTCCAGCTGTCTGAGACACAGGCCAACATGGTCATCTCCAGGCAAATGGAGGATGGTCATGCCTAGTATTTTTATACACCTAGTTTTCAAACAGTTCTCATCTGTTATATTCTCGCAGCACCCTGTGAGTTTGAGTTCAGATGGCCAAAAGTTTCTTCAGCAATCACTTTTTTCTGTGGAGTGCTTTTGTAGTTTGTGGAATATTTTGCATCTGCTACTGCACCTTCTCCCAGTGTCAGCTGTGTGTGTGGCTGCCCTGTCAGAGGTGGAGCTGTGGCCCAGAGGCTGTGTCCCTCGCCCCAGGTCCACAGCTCATCAACAGAAGGTCAGGGCCGAACCCCGGCTATTCTGACTTGGGAGCAGGAAATGCGTGGTTACCCATAGTTCCAGATGTCCTGGGGAGGGGCCGAGATTAGGAGAAACCTCCCTTGGCTCCAGAGGAAAGTCTGGCTCCCTGAGCCCACCCTACCAGGCCCAGGTCCAAGCTCCCAACCCTAGCTCGTGGTTTGTCCAGTGCTTACTGACGGGTGCTCTGGTGAAGGTGTGGCTCATGGGCTTCCTCTCTTGTTTCCTCAGAAGCTCTTCTGGATTTCTTACAGTGGTGAGTAGATGATCACCCGCCGATGCTGCCTGCGGCCTTCTCTCAGTGTACTGACGCCAGCCCACTCCACAGATGGGGACCAGTGTGCCTCGAGTCCGTGCCAGAACGGGGGTTCCTGCGAGGACCAGTTCCAGTCCTATATCTGCTTCTGTCTCCTTGGCTTCGAAGGCCGGAACTGTGAGACAAGTGAGGCCCCGCTTTGGGTCCCGTATTTGCAGAGGGACCGGGGGAGCTGGTGGAGGCAGCCTGGCCCACGGGCTGCAGGGTGCACCGTGGTGGGGTGTGTGGACCAGGCATTCTGGGCTCAGCCCCAGTTGGAAGTTGGTATGGGTGACCTTGAAGTTCCTTCCAGTCAGGTCTTTGATCGAGGGACCCAAGATTCTAAGACTCAGCGGCCCCTTGGGCTCCCCGCCCTGGGAAATTCTCAGCCCTCGAGAGGGCCCAGCCAAGAGTACTAGTGTCCCTGTCCCACTTCCACATCCCACCAGGCAAGACAGCTTGGTAAACTTCCCCTTCTCTACTTCCCATTACAAAGGTTTGAAGGTTTTCCCTTCTGAATATTAAATTATTGCAAAGTGTGGGGCCCCCAACCTCCCTTGGTTCAGTCATTCCCTGGAAGGACTCATAGAACCCACTGAAGTGGATACAGTCACCATTACTGTGTATTACTGCAAAGGATGCAGGCCTAAGTCTGCAGAGAGCCCAGGCACAACCTTCCCGTTGTCCTCTCCCTGTGGGGTCATGTGGACAGTTCTTAATTCTCCCAGAGCGATGTATGACGAGACCGTGGGAAATACTGCCAACTTGGGAAGTGCCACGAGCCCTGGTGTCCAGAGATTTTATCAGGGCTCAGTCACAAAGACCCAGCTGACCTCCCATGTGGCTGACCTAAGTCCCAGCCCCTCCAGAGGCCAAGCTGTTAGTATGGCCCAAGGCCCCGCCATACATCACATGGTCAGCTAGACCATCCAGCATGGCCCAAGGCCTGGGTAAACAACAACATTCCCTCAGGCAGGACCTTCCAAGGGCTTAGCGGTCACTTCCCAGGAGCCAAGGCAAAGGCTGCCCCTTCTCCTTGACCATCCACGTCTACATTCTTACACTGAATGAGCTCTCTCAGGCAGCAGCCGCTTTCTTCTCTAAGCAGAGGAGAGCCCAGCAGGGTAGGGGAGGCTGAGGAGAAAGGCTTCCTGCTGGTCATCTGGGCCCAGGACACCTCAGAGCTCTGCTCAACCCTGGTGCCCAGCAGCCCCAGTGCCCAGCAGCTCTGGTGTGCGTGCTGCAGGGCAGCCTCCCCGCCGGAGTCCTGGCTTACTCAGGGCCACTCCCCTTGCCTGCATCAAGCAGTTGGGCTGCCGGTTCTGTGTCTTCTGTCTGAACCCATTGCCAGTGCTGGGGCTGACTGTCCCCAGGCTGGCCCATGGCAGCACGAGGACAGCATGGAGAACTATCTCAGCTCTCTGGTCCTCTTGCCAGTTTGGTCTCTGACTGGAAGTCCCTTGGACACTTGTATTGTCCCCAAGGGACTTTCACTTTCCTCCAGGCACCCTTCAGCTTCCCATCAGCTGCTTAGAAAAGCGGTCGCCCTGGAGGCCACTGCCCACCAGCCAGGCATCCCCCAAATGCAACTGCAGCCAGCGCTGCCCCCAGCTGACAAGGCTGTTCAGACATGTGACTCCTGATCCAGGCCTCGTCCTTTGGATCAGTCCGTGGAGCAGTTGGTGCCAAGCTCAGTCTCTGTCGCCCACGGCTAAGTGCCACCTTCCAGGCAGAATGCCGCTGCTGACCCAGGGGGCTGGCTCTCACTGACTCCAAGAGGCCACTCTCGGGCTGTCCCCTTCCTGTCCGCAGACAAGGACGACCAGCTGATCTGCATAAATGAGAATGGCGGCTGTGAGCAGTACTGCAGCGACCACGCGGGCACCAGGCGCTCCTGTCGGTGCCACGAGGGATACTCGCTGCTGGCAGATGGCGTGTCCTGCATGCCCACAGGTGACCAGGCCCCAGGGGCTGCTTGTGGCTTCATGTACCAGATGGCCCCCAGTCCAGATGACACCCATCCTTGTCCCACTATGGCTTATCTTACTGGACAAAAGACAGGTGGGGGTGGCTTCGCATCTACTGAGCACCCACTATGCGCTGACCAACTGTGAGGCGGGATCTGGGCACCAAGGTGGCACAGGCCAGAGCCATATTGCCTAGGATGGGCACCCTGGGGCAGTCCCTGAATGGCCTCAGGCCCTCTGCCCATTCTAGGCAGGCCAGGGGAGACAAGTGAGGCATTGTCTCACATCCCACCCCCACTCGTGGGACCTCTGCTAGGGTTCGTGAATCTGCTTTGACACAGCCAATGTCTGTACTGACTGCTGCCCCAGTCTGCATTCCTAAACCTGTAAAGTCTCCTGGGAAAATGGGATGTTTCTCCAAACCAGCCTGGAACTAATGGGCTGCACTTCCAAAGACAGAGACATCCCACGCATGCTGTGTCTCAGGCAGGGACACCCCACGCCCGCTCT